TGTTTCGAAAGATTTGTTCGCTTACAAATCTGCTTCCTGTTTCTCCCCTCTATTACTGAATTAATAATGCCATAATTTACAGAATCAATTGAACCATGAGAGACGGCTTGCCAGAAAAGCTTCCTCAAAGGAAGAAGAAAGAAGTCCTGTTATCATGCAGGAAAAGGCCAAAAAGCTTGAGCTGGAAGGTAGCTCTGGCGTCTTGTACCCCAAAGACCCCTGTGCAGAGGCGGCTGTCAATGGAAGCCAGACGGAGGGCAGTGAGAAGGAAGCCAGCCGCTCCGAAAGCAGCTTTGATGCAGACAGTGAAGCCTCAGAAAGCGAAAGTGCTTCGAAGCAAACAACTTTGAGCCCACCCAGCAGCGTGTCTGGTGTGCATGTCAACCACTTAAACCCTAAAATGCCGCACAACAAGCCAGGCGACAGCAATGAAGAGATGATTTCCAGTTCCATATCCAAGCTTAGCTTCTGCGATCCTGTCAACGAAGATAAAAAATCAAGCTGTGGAGATCCAGCACTGGGTTTATCAAATAATTCCATGTTCTCAGTAGGCAAATCCTCACTATCACAAAACCCTCAAAATGCTTTCCAGACACTTTCCCAAAGCTACATAACTAGCTCAAAGGAATGTTCTGTTCAGTCCTGCCTTTACCAGTTCACCTCTGTAGAGCTCTTAATGGGGAACAACAAGCTTTTATGTGAGAGCTGCACAGAAAGGAAACAGAAGTATCAGAAGAAAACCAACTCCACAGGTAAAGCGCTTGCACCTCTGGACAATTCCCAGCATTGCCTCCCAAAGTCTGGGTGCTGGCTGCTCTTCCATTGCTCCAGCATGGGTCTCCCTGCTGTAGTTAAATAGAAAATGTCTCCCCAAACAAAACTTGCTTGTAACAACTTCAGACTTCATCAGGCGATGGCAACAGGACTAATTTTTATATTAGAACATAATGGGAGATGTAACATAGAATTAATTTTGCATCTTTATTCTATCCAAGATAAAAAGTTCAAAGATGACCATAAACCGAGTATGTGCATTTCTTGATGCTAATCTTTGCTGTTATTTCTGTTCCTTACAATCCTCAAAGCTTTGGAATATATGCTGTAATATTCGGCCCCAGTAGCTTACATACTCAGGGAAGTAATGTAATTGTGTATGGAAAAGAGGCAAAAGAAGAGAGGTGTAATGAAGAGAGAAAAAAAATCCAAATATTTGTAAGAATGGAGATGAGAGAGAAGGAACTTTTTGTGAAAATGTTTTCCTCGATGCTTGTATAGCCCAAGCAGACCATTAGAGTTCACTGAGTAAGACAAACAAATTTAATGAAAAACCAACATTTTAGAAGAACTGGAGGATTGGGTTTTTTATATATAGAATTTCAGAAGAATAAAAATTTAACTCTTCTGATAATTTGTAAATACAATAAAGGGAGCTCATATCATAACAAAAAATTGCTTGTTTGCTGTGCATTTATAGATATCTGGAGAGATACAAGCTAAGCATGAGTAAATTCAGAAATATTATTTGTATTTTCTAGTCATCCCTTTATGCATCATTGGACTGTAAGTGCTATATAAATAACGCCTTGGTTCTATGGGCACCATGGAAAAGCAAAATCAATTCACAACTAATCGTTAATTTTTTCCTTCTAAAACAAAAGATATAAGAGGTCACCCAATCAAACATTAAGTGCTCCTTCATACCTCAAATGAACTATTTTCTTTTGAACAAATGTAAAACCAGTAAATTAAGTTTTTCTGCAAAAACAAATTCTGATGGTATGTTCTCTTTTACTGTGGAGCTTTTCTGTGGAGCCTTCACTGTGCTACTGTGTTCCGTGCCTTCTGCACCATAGTGGGTTTGGCCACATATCCCAGTCCTGAATGCTGAAGCCAGCAGGTTAGGAAGCTTCCTGAAGTAGACAGCCCTCCTCAGACCTTTTTCTTAAATAACTATGAAGTATGTAGTCATGCAGAAAGAACTGAAGAATGGAAAACTAAACTCGTAGTGACTAGGACATTAACACAGATAAAGAGACTTGTGTCTTCCAGTTTTTATCCGGGGATCATCCATTTGTTTTAGGTTTTAACAGGAAAGTTGGGTGCTATAGTAACAGAAAATGTAGATATTTCAGTGTGCAAGCTGACCTAGATAGTGGACAGCCTTCCAGCTTCTAATCTGATTTGAACAAGACTGGCTAAAATAATGCTGAGATTCACAGATTACGTTTACTAATAACTAGAAAAATGAGAAAATATTTTTCTTACTCCACAACATTTCCCTTGTGTTTTATTTAACAAGTACAAAACCATCACAGCGTAGATCTATTCTGTCAGATGTTTAGAAAGTATTTAAAAAATTCCATATGACTGCCTTCACTTTACATATTATTTTGATATTAATAAATACAGAAAAGAAAATGGAAGGTGTCTACACAAATGCTCGGAAGCAGCTGCTGATTTCTTCAGTTCCTGCTATTCTTATTCTCCACCTGAAAAGATTCCACCAGGTAAGAGGCCAGACCCCTCTTGTATATTGCTCTGCCCCTCTGATGGACATCAGTTCTTCAAGTGTCATTGTGGATCCCAATACTGCCTCTTTAGATAGAGACCTGGTAGAAGCACTGTTTGAAACGTGCTGATGTTTCTTGTAATTACTCTTAACACCTTCAGAGTGCATTTAGCCATCCTGATGTATCCAGGGAAACCCCTTGTATGTCTGTCATGTTACATGTAGCACTGTATTGGAAACATAACAGAGAAGGTTTAAATCAGTTAAAATCTTACTCTTGGATTTGGTTAAGTTTAATAGTATAATGATACACCTTAGCTTTAAAAAGTTACCTTGTAAAAATATTTATTTTACAGTTTTTCTTTTTTTTTTTTTTCATTTGAAGGCTGGTTTGAGTCTACGGAAGGTAAACAGGCATGTGGATTTCCCATTGATTCTAGACTTAGCACCATTTTGTGCTGCTTCTTGCAAGGTACAATTTCAAGTCTTTATTTTTGTTGTACTTCAGCAGTTGGTGTTCTGACCACAAGTTAAATTGGATTGGTGATGATGATGATGATGATGGTTTTTAATCAAATTGTAGAGTGAATTTTTCAGATAGTGTTCTGAGATCAGACCTGTAACTGTGTGCAATCCCATTCATATAAAGAATATCATAGATGTTAGCTACTATTAGTTAAGCTGTGGTGCCCTGGTGATGTTGGTGTGTATAACAGCATAAAGGACAAGTTTTATTGCCTCTATGGTAACTAAATTAGTTAGACTACTGAGTACTTGTAATAGAGATATTTTGCTGTTGGAAATGCTGTGGGTGGCTGCTTGCCTCTTTTGGACTCATACTGCTGATAGCTACTTAACATGCCAGTAAAATTTATCATGAAATAATTCACCTTTGTTTTCTGTGTTTCTGGGAATGCAGAATGTTATGGATGGTGCAAGAGTGCTGTACAGTCTTTATGGAATAGTGGAGCACAGTGGCTCAATGAGAGGCGGTCATTATGCAGCATATGTGAAAGTCAGGACATCCTCCAAGAAATTGCTGGAGCATATTTCTACCACTAAAACTGTTCTGGGTATGTACAAACAGAGCTTCCTTTCCTTTACTGTAAACCAAAGGTAACTGTCTACAGGGATTTATAGCAAATAATTTTTTAGCTGAGAATAATTGTGGTTTTTAGACAAGTTGTAGAAAGCCCATCCCAGGATGTGCTCTAGGCCAGGCTGGATGGAGCTCTGAGCAGCCTGGGCTAGGGGAAGGGGTCCCTGCCCATGGCAGAGCTGTTAGAACTAGATGATCTTTGAAGTTTCTTTCAACCCAAACCAAACCATGATTCTATTAATTATTCTTTGTTGTTGTTGCACACAATGCATATCCTACTTCTGCTATTAATCCCATATAGAACTGAGTGAATAATGGAATTTTGATTCAGCTGTTAAACAGATAATTGGGGGACAACTTTCCTCTCTTTCCTACTCAAAATAATACATCCTGATGAATAGTTGTGCCTGATAAAATTTAATTATTTTGCATATTTGGTATCTGAAAATGGTTTAGTACACCAGTCAAATCCATTACATTAAAACAAATTACATTTTCTGAATATTTGAGCATTTTATGTATCTTAGGTATTTTAGGATGGGAGTTTTTTAATACTTAAAAATCTGGAATACTGTGGCTTAATGTGAACAGCAAGAATCTTTTTCATGGAAGATACAAGATTTGGTGTAGGGTTTCTGTTGGCATTTTGAGAACAGCACACTAGTTCTTTCTTATTAACTTGCTGGATATGCAGAACAGATGACTGGGGATACAAGCATCATAAAGTCACCCTAGGACGAGAATTAAATAAGTTTCCAGGACAGAATCTGTTAATGAAAAGTTTCCAGCAGCAATAATACGTCAAAGTTAGGTAAATATATTTAGTGTTTCCCTTCTTGGCGGAAAGTGAGAATCAAAGCATTATCCTTTCTATCCTATGTATTATCACTTTGTATTTGAAGCTCATTTCCCAGAAAGACAATATTTTACATTATCCATTAAATCAAAGTTTCCTTCAGTCTTATGCTTATCTTGCAATAATTATTAGAACAGATCAGATCTTTTCATGTTCTTAATTTCACACTGGTCAGCTTTTAAAATAAGACCTTTTTTCTATATCAGAATTGGTCATGTTCTAGTATAACTTCCTGTTGGAACTCAGCAAGCTGTACTGGAAATGTCTTAGTCTTTCTAAAAAAATATGAAAAAAGCCATGGCAGCATCCATTCCATCTTCCCCCAATTTGACATGTAAGTTTCAAACTGAATAGCAGACTCTATCTAAGTAATGAATTACTCCTGTACGTTAGAAGTTTCTCTTGCTTTTTGAAATAGGCACTGTATTTGCTTCATGATGCCATGAAAGACCAGAAAAAAATTTTCTTTTGCTTCTGCATTTCAGGTTTAAAAGAAGCCATGGGAGCGTCAGGAGGACAGTGGGTGTACGTTAGTGATACCCATGTTCAGATGGTTCCAGAATCAAGAGTACTAAATGCACAAGCATATCTACTTTTTTATGAAAGATTATTACTATAATTCTTAACAATTTAAGTTCAAAGAGGGTAGTGTTATTTAGTTTATCTTATTTAAAGCTGCAGTGGTAAGAGTACCTGTAAATATTGTGCCTTTATCTTGTAGAGAATTTATCATATTTTGATTCTGAAGTTCAGTTAAACTATTATAAATATCTGAATGATTCTCTTAAAGTATGCACTTTGCCAAACATGTAAAATTCCTGGGTTCATTAAAATGCAGTATCGTTAGAATGTAAGATGATGTCCTATCCTACTGAGGTCTAGGGAAAGTTTGTTTTTGATTATAATAAAGATAAGCTTTTGCCCATAGTTCTAGAAGAGTTGAGAATAGAAATACTGATAGCGCTAAGTGCCTGGATTTGCTGGTGTACAGTAACAATACAAAGTGTTCAACTTCTTCTGATCCAGTCCAGACCCTTCCCATCACAGGGTTGGATGCCAGCTGTTAGGATTTCTGCAAACAAGAGCCTGTCAAATAGTGTCGCTTCCATGTGAGGTAATTGGAAAGCAGAGTCCTTCCAGAATGGAGTGACAGCAGCTGTCTCTGGGTGGTGCTTCAGTGCACTTCCCTGATAAGAGCTGGGAATAGCTTGGGAAAATATGGCTTCTAAATAGTGACAGTGAATCCTCAGATACCCAGTACCCTTTCAGTTGTCTCCAACTGGCACTGGTATAGCAATGTACTCCTGTTTCAATATAAATATGTACTTGGTGTGCATAAGTATATCCTCTGAGATATATACACACACCATAAATCCATCAATAGATATTGTCATTTTACCTTCTAGGAAAGATAATTGCAAATAATTTCTGTATTTAGTAATTTTTCAACTTCACAATTATGACAATGTACAGCATATAAGCTTGTGTATGTACAGAGTTTAAGTGTAATTCAGTAAATTCTGTTACTTTTGGTTCCAAACATGAACTTGTTTATCTGTTCCTGAATACTTTTCTCACAGGAGTAATAAACTATAAATTATTTTTGCACTGTGTGTGTGAGTTGGACAGTAAATGATGACAACTGCCTTCTGATATATGTCTGGACTTCCTTTTGTCAGCAGTGGGGGACAGCATGAGTCCAGGTGGCAGAACAGGTTTCTGTAAACTGTGTGACTGCCCTGTTTTGAGGTGGTACTTCCTTTGGTAATTTCTCATTTCCATCCCAGAGGGTAACAGATACATTCTAAGCTGACCTGATGAGTACTTGAAGTTATGTGGTAATTAATTTATTTAATAAGCAGTTACCTAAGTACAAATTACTTCTCTAACAGTTCCATCCTGTATAACTTGCTCTTTGGTAGAGAGAAAAATGTTAATATATGCTTACTGTTTTCATTTATGGTAATGCTTTTTAAAGAAAAAACATGCTGTCCCTATTACTGTCTGTACCACGTTGTCATATCTACCTGCCTGACTCTCCTATTCTCTACTTCTGTTTCAGAGCTTCATCCCACTTGTGTTCCCTCTTTTGCATAAGAAAATGGCACAGCCTCTTAGAATTGCATTTGCTCAAACTGCTGAGGTGTATCTTAGACCTGCACATCCTTGTTCAGGCACTGGGGATTGTTAGGCCATAAAACTGATAGTCATAATGGAGTGAGCCTCTGGTTGCACAGCATTTTATTTTCAAAAGGAAAAACCCTCTGTTTAGATCAAAATTAGGCTACATGTTTTGGACAAAACCATGGTTTTTTCCTTGTACAAATTAAAATTGTCTCAGTCTATCCAAAAGTAGTAAAAATCAGAGAAACCAAGCAGCCAGCTTTAGCTATCTGTATTCCAGCTAGCATCTTAACCTAAGTCTACAGTAAGTAAGAAAGAAGGGTACTGTTGAAATGAGAGTTGGTTAAAATACCATAATTCTCTTCTAGCTCCTTATCTTCCCATACCATTCATCCACCTACACACACTTTCATCCTCTTTGTATGTAGCTGATCAAAACTCGGAATTAGTTCCAAGCAACAGTGGGAGCAAATGGCAACTAAGTATCACTTGTGTGACACAATCTTGCTAGGAGGAGCATGGGGTGAATCCTCCACCCTAATGCACTCAGAGTGAGTAGCTGCCCTGACATTGCTCTCTTTGTGATTTCTGGAAAACTACTGAATTTAGGTACCTGTATTACTCTTCTCTTTAGCCTAGAACTACTTCCCTAGACTGCACAACTAGGAGAGAAACAGAATGGGGTTCTTAACCTGTTACTTCCTATTTTAATGCTGTTTTCAGGAAATTCCTGAGGTGGTCTTTGCTCCTTTTTAACTGGAGTTTGCAAGCTGTTTGCTAAAATTTTCCCAAGTGGACATAACTGCCTAGGATGTCATAAAAGATGCGGGCAGGATTATTTTCTCATTAACAGCCAGGGAACGTTTACTTGCATTTACAGGTATTTTATACAACATAGAGAGAAAGTGCCATGAAAAAGAGCCAATGCCTTTATTCGAGGCAGCCATCAGTGTTGTTCCTGGCTGAGGTGTTCTGAGCTGAAATAAAAAGCTATGTTGGCAGGAACTCTGTAAGCCTTGAGTCAGAATCAGGTATAGAAATATGATAGAAGGAAGCATTCTCTAAAAAGGAAGGCAATACTTGAAGTTATGTCTTCAAAATGAAAAAAATTATGACCAATGCAAGATGTCACACACAATTTTAGATGCAAGTCATAGTGTCCTTTACACAGACCTAAGTTATTCTGTGTAAAGTTTGGCTCTAAAGAAACTACATAAATGTGTATATTGAAGACTTAAAATTCTTTATTAGGAATTGGAAAAGAAACTTTGAGCATTCTGGGAAAACAAGAGTATACATCCCATATGTGCTAGAATGTTAAATATGATTCTCGAGTCAAGGAACTGGCAGTTTCCTGAACTGCCAGATGTGTGCATGCTATTGAAAAGCTGTATGTTTTCAGAATTTAAGTGAAGGGCTTGAAAGTTTAAGACTCCTTAAAATGTCTTATGTTACCGATGAACAATCTCATCAGGCCGACAGCAGTACTCTTTACAGAGCTTCACCATACTTTTGTGGTCCCCCACCCTGAGAAAGCGCCTGGGTCTTCATGTGGCAGAGCTTCAAAACAGCTTTCTCTTCATCCCACTATTCTCCTCTCACAAGGGCACCACTGCTTTCTTCATCAGCTCCATTTGTTCTTTATGTTTTTGGGGTCTCTATAAGTCTCTGTGTCAATGTCTTTGCTTTCATTGATCCTTCGGCATGATATGGTGGTTCCCAATCTCATCACTTTGTGAGCTTGCAAAGCTCTTGCAGGAAGAGCTGCTGTAGCTGTACTCTGCTCTGTCCCCACCACCACACTGGCTCTGCCTACAGGCTGCAGTGCTGACCCCTGAGAAAAGCTGTGGCTCCTGAGCAGCTCTCTGCTGACCAGTCACAAGACAGTGCCTGTAGAGCAATTACAAAGGATTCAAATTAAATAGTTCCTCACTCATCAGTAAGTAATGGGAATACTTCACCTACGGGAAGTACCTGATATACATATATGGACAACTGGAACCCTCTAGAAGTTTCCTGAGTACAGAGGCATCGACAAAGACCACTGCATCAGCTAAGGAGTTAGTACAGATTATAAGAAAGAGCTTTGTTATCTTTGGATTTATGTATCATTTACACCAAAAGTGGCAAAAAAGGATGGGGAGATGTACTATACTAACCTGTCTACAATATGTGTACAGACATCATGTCTGCATTAGTCTGTTCTCCTAAGAGATGGCTACAAAGAGAGGTGAAGGAAAAACAAACCCTGAACTTTGCCGCCCAAAATGTACACACTGTAATCACCTTTGTTTAGAAAATTAAATCCATGCAGTCTGCCAACCTTCCTCCCCTTTCCCATCTGCACCCTCTGTGTGCATCAATGAAGTGCTCTTGCCTATGGATTTCAAGTGGTAGCAGGTGAGATGGTTTATAAATTCATTAAAAGGCTGAAATGTCTTAACTTCACCATTTGCTTCTTTTTTGTACTAACACAAACTGAATCATAAAGGGACATGGAATTAATGCATGTACATTCTCAACCCATTACAGAAATCTTATTTGAACATATTGGTAACACAATAAGAAAGGAGTAATTTAGTAGAAAATCTATGATGTATTAAAAAGGAAACAAATTGGATGGGAATAAAGAAAGCATTTAAATACAACTCTTCTGTTAACAATAATTAACAAATTCAATTTTCATTAAAAAGTGGTAGCACATCTCAGTTTTAGCTATCTGTATTCCAGCTAACAACATCATAACCTAAGTCTACACTAAGAAAGATAATGTTTAGATGAGAGTTGTTAGAACAACCCTGATTAAATAAAGATTTGATACTCCTTAGTTTTCAATATCTGGACTCTATTTTGCTGTGCCCCATACACATTTGTACAAAGATTTGTATATCTTCATGAAAGAAATGCCACTATCCTTTAGGGGAACAATTTCAGTCTCATTATTTTAGAACAGATTATTGTTGCTTCTGTGTCTATTTACCATATCTTAGGCTGTCATTTTGCCAGCTGTTCTAGCTGTTGTACCTCTCCTGTTGTTGTATAAACAAATTGTAGAAATGGTGGAAAAGTGATTATTCCAAATGATTCATAATCTATTTTTTGTAAATGAGATTATAAAATATATTTTCAGATGGATGTCTGTTTGTGCAAGTCAAAACACTTTCTATGTACAACATTCTGTAAGAAATTTAAGTGAATTTTTATGTTATAATAAAACCATTGCAATGCTTTGCAGCCACTTCACAACTACTTGGTGTACATTCCACTTCTATAAAGTTATAAATACTTCCATCATCACTGACAGCATCGGCATCAGTAGAAAAAACTAACTTTTAAGTATCAAGAATGTTTCTTACATCTATTGCAGCTTCCAGTATTTTTCTAGTACAAAATGTAAAGGTGCAGAACTGCTTTTAAAAGAAAACAGGAGTGTTTATTTTGAGTGAGTTTAGACTTAGCAATTACCTCATTGCTTTCCTAGTTTAGGTTTTATTTTGCTTTTGAGCTGTTTAACGTGGGAATTGTTTTAATGTATTCTGTAGTGAAACCACCCTGTCAGTGGCCACCATTCCCTATTTAGCCATTCCACAAAGCTGTGTTCTGATTCTACTGTCATTTATACATGGAGATAATCCCTGGTATGTTCATGTGTGCTTGCACTTACACAAAAGACAATCCAAGAATCAAAAATCTTGTTGCTAAGTTCAAAATACTTGTGAGCAATAAATCAAGCATGTTAAAACTTTCATCTAGTTTTCATTAATTTCCTTTTTTCATCTATTTGAACTTATAGTCTGACTCTACTCTGCAGGTGTTTAAATAGCAAATAGTATTTTTAGAATTTGACTACAGTGCTGATACATGGTACATTTCATTTGTAGATTTCTAATTCCAAATATTACTAAGTAAACAGGGTTTTACATACAGACTGTACTTGAAAACAAACACAAGTCTGATCAGTTTTCCAGTCTAACCAAGGTGCTTTAACAAGTTTCTGCGAGAATAGCTGCATTTGTCATCTATTCATTTTGTCTTTTCATGTTATATATTGTTAGAAAAATGTGTAAATAAAATATCCAGCCATTTGGAAAGCTGTGTAATTTAAACATAAGCTGTATGTTGTACATCTGAGTTAGTGTATTTTTGCTTGTGTCTTGTCTCACGTCATCCCTGCCTGTGGAAAAGCTCCCCAGAGATGAGGCCATATCCTTGGACACTTAAGGTGCACCTCTTGTTTCTCCTGCCTTACCCTCTGTGGCAAAGGGCACAGATACAGTTTGTTCCCTTTACAAGAACTGAGTTCTGCAATTCTGTGATAAAGCCAAGAGTGGGACTCCCTCACACGCCCGGTTTCAGTAGCAGCTGGAAGTTTGTCCATCATAAGCATCACTGCAGAGTTCCAGCTGTGAGTCAACAGACGTAAAACTTCCATAACACTTAATGGAAAGCATTCTCAATTCTGCCATTCCATGTGATACAAACAGGGGAAAATCTAGAATGCTTCAGCCAACACTAATATGTAGTCTAACTGGCACTGACAATCATTACAAAAGTTTCTTGAATCCTTCACTTTTCTCTAGATTTATAAGAGTTAATTTTATTACTTCGTGTGGGTATTAATATAACTTTATGCAATGATCAGAGAGACTGTGGATGTTTTAGGCATTTACATCCTAAATGACGCTGAAGGAAGGGAAGGCAGTGATCCCAGCGTAAGCAATGTGCCAGCTCATGGAAACCTCTGCTCCACACAAAGGAGTGGAATTACTCAGTCCCTGCCTGCAGAATCATCCCCGGTGTCCATACAAGATACAAGACGAGCTGTTTACTGCAGGTGATTTTTTTCCCCCCCCTTCATGCCTTAAAATCAAAGAAAAATTGCAGGTAGAACTCACAGAAGTTAATTTGGATATTCAGAATAACTACTTGGAGAACTGTCCTGCTCCACAACCACTCCTTATAGCCGTACAGCGGCCTGACTGAACGCTCACACCCTGCAGCCGTGCAGCACAAAGTTATTGCGTGTTTCAGTGTAGGGCACTGCCCAGAGCCTTACACCTCTTACAGGCGGAGCCGCCAGCTTTGTTAACTTCTTCATGCAGCTTTATCAACTTCTTCATGCCGACCCCGTACGGGACACACGGATCACTCCGACTACAAGTTACCCGTGGGGCCAGGGAGCCGCCTCACGGTGCCGCAGGCGGGAAGGTGAATCCCGCTCGGCTCTCCCGGCTCCCGGGCGGGGCGCGTCCCCGCCTCCCTGTCCCGCCGCGGCTGCCCCGGAGCGCTGCCCGCAGTAAAGATGGCGGCTCGGGCGTTGGCGCTCCGGCCGGCGCCAGGGGAACGGGAAGCGCCGCCCGGCCGCCCTCAGCTAAGATGGCGGCCCCGGGCTCCCGTATATGCCAGGCGAGGGTCAGCACCGTGACGCCTTTCACTTCCGGGTGAGCGCCAGCGGGCGCCATATTGTCTTGTCCGTGAAGACGAGGAGTGATAGCGGGGGCAGCGCGGCCGCGGAGCGGCGGCACCGGCGGCGGCGGGAGGCGGGGGAGCGCGTAAGTAGCGGGGCGGGCTGCGCTCGCCAGCGCTCCCGGGGTGCCGGCGGGTGTCGCTGGCCCGGTCTTCCCCTTCGCTCCGAGCCGAACCGGGAGGGCGCCGCGCGCCGCGGTGGCGGCGGCAGCAGCTGCCCGCCGGGCGTGAGGAACCGGCGGCGCCGACAGCGGAAACCGGCGGCCAGGACGAGAAGGGACGAGCCGAGAGCCGCTCGCCCTCCCCCGCTGCCCGTCCTGGGGGGGCGGCGCGCCGCGCATGCGCGGCGAGGGCGCGGGGGGGCCGACGGGGACCCCCGGGACCCCCCCGTCCCCCGGAGAGGCCGGCGCCGAGCGCGCGCCCCGGCGGTCCCGGGATGCCGGGAGCGCGCCCCGCCGTGCCGGGAGCCGCCCGCTGCCCGGGAGGCTGCGGTTCCGCGGGGCACGGCGTCTCCTCGGTTGAGCCGGTAACCTGGTTAGGGAAGCAGCATGTGCGCTGGGATTTGGGAGTCGGCTGTGTCAGCAGCCCGGCGGCTGCGGATGAAATGTATTTGTGGGCATTTGTGCTGTTTCATGGGTTTCGGGGCCGCTCCTGTGAGTTCGTTCCACTGGAGGGCTCCAGAGAACTGAAATTCACACGGCGGCATTTGTGAGATACCTGGAGCCGTAGCTTGGCAAGCGCAGGGTGGTTTTAAATGGATCCTCAAACAGGTGATGGGTTTGAAAGCCTTTTTGCTTTCAGCGCTTATCCCTGCAGTTTCTTTGTACTTCATTAGACAATCCCACAAAGTTGTTGAAGTGAATTTTAATGGGATGTGCTAGGCTTTGCAGTTAAGGATGGAGACACAAAAGTGGTCTGAGGGCTGCAACCCCTCTTCTGTGAAGACAGGCAAAGAGAGCTGGGATTGTTCAGCCTGGAATAGAAAAGGCTCCAGGGAGACCTTATTGTGGGCTTTCAGTACCTAAAGGGAATGAAGGTACTTTTGAATATGAAAAAGGTGGTAAAAGGCTTGTTACCAGGGCTCTGGGTGAGGGACAACAGTATTAAACCAAAATATAGATTTAGACTGAATGTAAGGAATAATTTTTTTATGATAAGCATGGAGAAGCTGTGGTGTCCCAGGGAAGTTGTGCAATTGGAAATGTCCAAGATCAGGTTGGACAGAACTTTCAGCAACGTCATTTCATGCAAGATGTTGAACTAGATGGTCTTCAAAAGTCCCTTCCAACCCGAACCAGTGGATAATTCTGTGCTACCCCAGCCGAAATTTCCTAAGTTTCTGTAACAAGTGATGATGCAGAGTATTCAGTCACCTGGGTTGTTGTTAATTTCTTATCTTATAGTTAACACCTATAAATGTTTTCAGGCAGTCTGTTGGAAGTGTGGGATACAGGAAACAAGGGGTGCCCTAAAGGCTTTGCTTTAAAGCAGAGTCAGCCACCTTCCAAAGAGAGGGAATGGTGGTGTGCAAAGCATAAAGCATGTCGACCAGCAGCCAGTATTCTAACATCATTTTCCAAAGCCAGGGTTACAAATGCCAGTGCAGGCCAGCCAACACCTGTGCTGTTGGTAGGAGTAAGAAACCTCTTTTTGGAGCGCAGCTGCACTAAGGATGGCTCTTACAGGGGTGGCAGATGCTGCAGCTCCCCTGACTGTGGAACAGCGGGGAAGTGAAAGTCTTGGCTTTGTCTGGGCACAAGCTGCTAGGATTGCTGACAGACAAGCTCCTGGTTCTTAATTTGTTTGGTGCAGCAGCAAACCTTGTGTCATCTGTGCTGTTATGCCATTACAAGACTTGCCCTGTCCCATATGACATACAAACTCCTGCTCTGATAAAAATGCTTTCTGTACTTTGGGCTCAGAGGTGTTGTAGGGCTTAAGAGTCCACAAATTTAGCACAGTTCCACAGTTTTTTAGTGGTTAACTCACCTTATAAGCTGTGGTGGTAGAGTGGAATTTACTATCATGTTTGATTTTTAGTTAAGTGCAGGATTATGTAAAGATTCAATGGGAACAGGAGTGTCCAGTCTCACTTCTTTTCATGACTGAGGTATATGGTGGTTCTAATGCTTTTGGTGACATATAATATTTTGGGTAGGTGTTATTAAACTGTTCTTACTTTCATCACTAGCTGATCCATTATTAAGTGATAATTGTATGTATCATTGAGGTTAATATCTGCTCAGGACTAGTCAGGAGCAGTTGTTTATTTTGTTATTGGCACCATTAATTTTTGTGCAGAGCATGTTCATTGCAGAGGAAGTTGCAGATGGACCATTCACTTCAGAAAAAAAATAATGCTGTGTTACAGGGCTAATTGAAAATCCTGCATCAGGGCTTTCAGTGGAATGATACATGAAAAAAATAATCAGATTAGACTTTTTTTTTCCCCCAAACCCAGCACAGTTTTGACTTAAACTGCCTAAGAAGTTATGATAATGTTTCTATGGTAGTAAATGTTCTAGCAGTGATTTTGCTTTCCTACTCTATGATAATCAAATCATGTGTTTGTCTTTGTCTTGGAAATACAAAAAATAAGTAAATGGTCTCTGGATGCCAATATCTGGTCCTTTTGCTCTTTTAAAAAAGAATTGTGTTCAGCTCAGTGGATATGAACTGAACTTACAGTGGATGTAAGTTTGAATTGACAGACCTTGGAAGCTGTACTGCTGGAGTGACTCCCTGAAGAAGATTTCACAGTACTTTTTTTTTTTTTCTTTTAGTTTTTTTTTTTTTTAATTTGACCTTTGTTCATGCTGCTTCATCTTGTTAGCATTGTAAATATTAGTCAGATGTACTGATGTGTGAAGCAGGTTCTGGAAAACTTCATGGATACTGAGCAAGCTGTTTAATCAGCTCTTTTTCTGGTTCTGTATTTTGGATCTTGGTCACACATTTGAAAAGCCTCTGTTCTTCAGTCTGAGAGAGAACACTTCTGATGATAAAGAATGCAGTGGAGCAAATTTTACTGATACACAACTATAAGTGAGCTGGAAGATTTAACATGTTTTTTGACTTGTCATCATGCTAACAGATCCCAGCAGGCACAAAGGTGCCTTCTGGCTCTCAGGAGGAGAAAAGATGCATAATATCTGGGCATGAAATACTGGGAACAACTTAGGGTGGTGCCCTACATGGTGTATAGAAGTCTTGGGCCAAGTGAAGGTGTCGTGAGTGAAACAGAGTAGTAGGCAAGACGGTTACTGTAACTTTTTCTGATTTAGTGCAGACTTAAATGATGCCATAAATATTTGATTTTCTAATCATCAGCTGAGTGTAATATTGCTATATTAATAGTGAATATTAGTAAATACTGATTCTCCCAAGTAAAATCGAAGCTGGTATGTTTTTGTCTGCATTTGTTCTGACTCTGAGTGAATGTGTCTGCAGCCTCTCTGCAGGAACTTGCAGGGTCCTTTCCTGTGTGGGTGCATAGGATACAGTGCTTTTCCAGGCCCCCACATCTTGTTAACTGCAGAAGTGTTCTGACTTACCTGGGTCTCCTATGTTAAGACCACAGCCTAATGATAGTTCTTGTGACACCCTTTCTGCATTGAATTTTTCTTCTTCGTAGGGGGGCTCCTTTGGGAATGCAAAGCTATTTTTCATTTGCAGTTCTTTTCAGCTGCACCTCTTATGTACAGATTCTTACAGAAAAGTATATTTTATTCCAGTGACACAGTCATGGATGAAGCACCCTGTTTACATTTTCTTCCAGTTGGGAGCACTTTGAAATAGACATCTTTGGAGTTTGTACCATGTGTGTCCATTATTGACTTTGGATTCCAGCTTGGTTGGATGTTGATAATACCATGGCTGAGCTACTCATTCTCATTCCTTGGGAGAGCTATGTGAACTGTTGGTGTTGTATCCCTGGAGTATTTATCCACTAGTCCTTCCAACCTCATCAGTGATGTCTTTGCTACCATGGCCCTGTTGAAGCAATAGCATAGTGGGAGAAGAGGGAGGGGGGAAAGAGCTCTGTAGCAACACTTGTTCAGCTTCAACTCTTGGAGGTATTGGCCTTATTCTTGTCTTTCTACTGACTGCTTTGATCCTGGTGTGGTGAATGTAGGATTAGGTTTAGCCTGCTTGCAACTGAGCAATTGCACAGAATTCATCATGGAAACTCATCATGAGCTTTCAGTCACTGTGCTAAAACTTCACAGAGTCAATAACAGCTATCTTGAATGAAAGATAAAAATCTTACAGTAGAATAAGGCATCCACATGAAAGATCAAGAAATCAGGCTATTAATTTCAAGGAGCTCTGCTCCTGAAATATCTCCATTTTCCTTTAGGTTCACCTTCAGAGCCTAAATATATATGAGATGAAGAAACTGCCTACAGAGTATGTGATGCTTTTGAGATCCTTCTCAAGATGTGTTGTGGATGACTTCTGTAGCCCATGTTCTACAAAGAGCATCAGAGACTGATGTGCCTTTGCTGCTTGTCTTGTCTTAAACTCACACCAAAAGATTACCAAGCTAATGACACTGACTGTACAATAAGTGTGTTTCAAAACCAGTAATTGCAGTTATAAATCACGACTCCTATCTCCTGGGGTCTTTCCCTTCAACTATGTAGACCTAAATATAGTCAGAAAGTCATGGCTGCACTGTCAGGTTACCTTAGAGTAGAACATCTTTCTAGCTTTTTTTTTGTGGCTTTTTTGTTTGTTTGTGTCTCTTTTTTCTTTTTTTTTTTTTGGTTGGTTTTGTTTTTTTGCCAAGATACCTGACCTGTAAATGGAGTGCAAAAGAGTGTGTTGTCTTTAAACCCTGAGGTACAAAGACTAGGTAGGGATTCTTCAAGTATGCATGATGGCCTGCTCTTTCAGCTTCTTTGTTTAATTAGATGATGGATATTTCTTTGCTAAATGCCATGCTTGTTTGGCATGCCTGCAAGACAAACCTTTAGTCACCAGAAAAACTCCTGCAGCTGTGTGTTAAAAGAGCTCAATTTGCAAGTAAAACTCGTCAGGCCATCTTGTGTCATATATTGACCTGCTCTTCAGGAATGATGAGTAGCATGATCAGAAAAGTGATGCAGCAGCCTCCCCTCAGCATCAGAAGGCTCTTGATTTCTAGCTGTGGGTTCTGTAGGTTCCAGAATCTTTAGTCTGCCTGTCTACAGGGTTGAATAAACCACCACCAACCAGGGTGTGTGTGCCCTGAAGATCAGGTCCAATGATACTGATGTCTGATGTAAGAATTGCTAACCTTGATCTCTTCAGCTCATGACACAGCAGAAGGTGTTGCCACTCTCCTAGTGACAGCTTGACTCCTAGGCAGTCTTCTGATTTCTTGGAGTTGAGACAGTCTAGCTTCTA